ATAGTTTCCAAAGATTGTATAAAACTGATTTTTACTACATGCAACAGAAACCGTCTTTTTTCCAGCATTTTTAAAACCGTTAGGTAATTGACAGTGAATAAAATATATCAAATCATTTTTGAATGCTTCTGAAAGATTTTTTGGCACTATTTGTAATTTTTCTTGAATACTATATTTGCGTATAATAGTATTATGGTGTGATAATTCTGCATTATTCTTAAATGTTTTTTGACATATATCACACTTATATTTATCTATAATTGTAAGTAAAGGTGTGTTCAGAGGCGTTACTATATCATTATTTTGTGTCATGCCGAAAAATCTAAAAATTAAAGATTATTTTTTTATTTTACTTTGTATTGCAAATTTAAAATTAGTTTAAATATAATAATCTATATATTTTTATAAAGAAGCTCAATTCAAATACCTATAGTATAGTCTCATGGGTTTTGAGGTTGGCTCATAGGTTTGATGTGAGATAACTATATGATTTGAGGTAGAGCATAAAATTTGATACTAATAAAACATCAATCACATGATTAAGATTTTTCTGCAAATCCGCCCATATGTTTTACACCATATACAAAGATTGCTATTAGTGAATCATTTTTTAAATACTTTAAAAATTGGAATATTGTGTCTAAAGTAGATATTTAATAATAATATTATTTATACTATTAATTGCATTATACTTGTTTTAAAGAGTTAATTGATCCACAAAGTTTAGAAAATAAATAGGTTCGTATTCAGTTAGAAATATTAATAATTGCAATTTTCAAACCCAAATTAAATAGAAATTTCAAATTATCATATTCAGTTTTGAATAAAATCACAAGTTAATATTTATTAATATATTATTATTTTATAAGTATTAGCAATTACTATAGACAATGCAACCAGCAACAATGCTACAGTAATCAATATAAAACACAAGCTCATCAAACAAAACATGTTTGTTACAAATAAAAATTGTTACATTAGCATTGTTGTACCCATATTTTAAAGATAAAGGGCAGTCTTTTAAAATTATATATAAACCTAATAGTAAATTTTTTTTATATTTAATTTTATAAAAAATTATATTAAGTAACCTAATTTTAATTATTAAATGTCAGGGATGATGCTGAAATCAGATGATGCTGAAATTCACGTGATCATAGGATAATCTTTGTATAAACAAATCTGAGATGCGTCCATTATTTGATTGTATCAAATTGAGGTGCATTACTATTTATTTCAGATTTTTAAATCTCATATAACAAATTAGGTGATCTAAACTAACTTCAAGCATGTGATGATCGACAAGAAACTAACCAATAGCTAATCTTAGTTTAGTGTAATGTAGCACAATCAGAAAATTTAATGCAAATATTTATTTTACCAAAAATCACTCATAACTCAAAAATTAGCATAAAAACTACCTTTAGTACTTTAACTAAAAGTCTTTCTTGAGTGATTTTATTACTAAATTCAAAGCAAACATTAGTTTTGCCAAAAGTCACTCATAGCTCAAAAATCAGCATAAAAAGCTTTAACAAAAGTAACAAGAGAAGCTTTCATCTAGTATGCAATATATAAAGAAATTATTTTACAATACCAGATCATTCTGCTAGTATATGCTATGATTATAAACCCATATCATTTGTGATTATAATAATAATATGTAATAGCCAGAATGATCTTGTATTGTAAAATAATTTTTTTATACAGTATGTTGCACATTGGGTGAAGGATCAGTCATGTAACATTAACGGTTTTCCCTATTAACAAAAGTCTTTCTTAAGTGATTTTACTACTATCTCGCTAACTTCTAACCCTAAAGTAAGGCTAACCCTAACATTATCACATTTTTCTGATGTCACATACTCAAAATTTTTTTGATGACTATGCTGGAAGAATCTAATCTCAATGTAATAAAATGTTTGTGCTATGTCATCAAAATTTCACAAGAATTTTTTTTATTAGTAGATATAAAGTAGTTTCATAAACATTATATGCAGTTTTTTAACTCTGATTGGTGCATCTTACATAGTCTCACTGAAGTAGCTTAACACTATTATTTTGCAAAATATCATGTAACATCAATGATTTTATTATAATAAAAAAGGGGTTGAGGCAAAAACTTTTCACTTCATCATAATCCTAAACTATTCTATTCTAATTGTGACAGTCCTAAACTAATTCAGTTTATATATCTGATCCTCTAATTCAAAATTCTTTTTAAAAAAAAAACTCACATAAATCAATTATAGCTTCTTTATAGCCCAGACCCATTTAACAGGAACTCGAATATCTTCACTATTCACTTCAATAACTGCAATGTGATTATTTAACTTAAGAGACTTGAAGACACCTTATGCTGAAAAGATTGGTTGCAACTTTCTCTTGCAGATTTGTTGATTCATATCATAATTAGGTGCAATTGCAACTTCAGTTCTAGCTTCGATTGTATTGTTTGCTAATTTTTTTCTATGCACACTATTATGGCCTAATTTTGCACAATACTTTTCAAGTGATGCACTTATAGATTGGTGCATTTCGAGCATATATGAAATGCATTGTTCTATAGCATCTTTATTGATTATGATTTTAGGGACAGTGGTCTCAGGAATGGTGGTTTCAAAGGTGGTCTCAAAGGTGGGTGTGGTCCCAGAGGCAGTGGTAGTGATCTCAGAGATGGTCTCAAAAATGGTCTCAGAGGCAGTCTCAGAGGCAGTAATGGTGGTCTCGGAAGCAGTGATAGTGGTCTCAGAGGCAGGGGTGGTTCTAAAGATGGTGGTGGTGGTCTTAGAGGTGGTGGTGTTTCAATGATAGAAGTTTTAAATACAGCAGTGGTTCTGGAAGTATCTGTTACAAATAAAAATCATATGTTTAGTAGTTGCAATTTAAGTTTTAATTTGAGTTGAGGTGTGAATGTAATGACATAATTTGTCATAATTATAATGAGTTATGGCAAAATGTTGTAACTCATTATAATTATATCAAATTGCGGCATTGTGTTCACACCTTTAGACTTTGTGTTAAAAAGATATAGACTGAGTGTATTGTATACACAATGCATTTTCTATCCAAACATTGCTTCATGTGGTGTATAACTATATGCTTTGTGAACAGTTAAATTATACAACATAACAAATACATCGATTACATTAATTCAGTCCTTTCTCTGTAACTGGTTATTTTGATCCCAAAGCAACTTAGTAAACCTGCAACCTACAGTTTGATTAAGTCATTCAACTTGGCTTTGTGACTGTGGATAGTGAGGTCTACCATGCCTAATTGTAATATTAAGAGTACTACAAATTTCAGTGATAATTCTTGCAACAAATTCCTTACCATTGTTACTTTGAAGAATCATGAAAGGTCCAAGAATCTTAAAAACATCTTTTAGGAGATGCACAGCAACCATATTTGCTTCCTTATTCTTCATAGAAACTGCAACCAAAAATTTAGAGAACATACAGATACATGTGAGCACTCATGAGAAATTGTCATTGATTTCAGCAATATCTTGAAAGTCGATTAGGTCAATTTAAACATGCTGCCATGATGCTGTTGATACCACATTTCTCATATTAGTTTTTTCTTTGATGGAGGTAGTTACAGCGCAAGCAGCACAATGGTTCACATACACTTTTACTTCCTTCTGCATAATTCCAATATGTTTCTCTGAAATTGTGGAGAAAGTTTTATGATACTTCTGATGGTTTGCATGATCATGGAAATATTTCAAAATTAGGGCACGCATTTCTTCATCATACTTGGAGACTACTTAGTGTTTTTCTAACATTAAACCATCCTTCACAACTGGCCGAACATAAAGAAAGCTATTTTCATCGACTTCAAATTTTTTGTAATGATGAATAAAATTGAATTTTTTTGAAGGGTCCTGTTAAATATCATCTGGAATGGTCTTTGATTGAAGGTATTCAATGATTGTTTAATATTTCCTTAGAGTCTCTAGTATTTTTGAGATTGCTAGCATGTTTTTTTTTTTTTTTTTTCCTTTTTTTTTGTTCTTCGCTAATTCTTGAATTCTACATTTCTTATAGTTCAATAATTCTAATAAACAGCAGGCTAACTTTGTCTTTAATTCAGTAAAAGGTAAGTTTTTTTTTACTAATCTTGGTAACAATATTTGAAGTTCTTTTAATTCACTTATACTTACTTTTATCTACTTAAACCTGGTAGATGAAAGGTCTGACAGTACTATTTTCAAAGAAAAAATGCCAAATGCTTTGCAAAGATGAAAGAATAAGTTATATGCTTTTTTTTTTTTTTTTTTTTTTAGTAATCACAGCTAATTTTATTTGTGATCTAAATAGTAAAACTGATTACTTATAACTCTGGTTAAATTTGCAGATCATTTGGCCAATTCCAAAGTTTATAATTCCAAATCTGATCAAATGATCTGCAAATTTAACTAGAGTTATAAATATCAGTACACTAGATTTGAAATAATGAATGTTTGCATTGAATTTTCTCGATTGTGCTACATTATACTAAATGGAGATTAGATATTGATTAGTTTGTTGTCAATCATCACGTGCTTGAGGTTAGTTTAGATCACCTAATTTGTTATATAAGATTCAGAATCTGCAATAAATAGTGATGCACTTCAATTTGGCACAATCAAATGATGGATGCATCTCAGATTTGTTTATGCGAAGATTATCTTGTGATCATGTGAATTTCAGCATTATCCTCGACATTAAATAAAAATTGTAGAGTAGATCTTTCTGATTCTAATAATAGTAAAATTATTAAAATAGATTAAAAACTTATTAAAATATTAATTTTTTTTTGTTAAAGGTCATACTTGTAATGATACTTTATTGACTTTATATCAGATTAGTTATTACAACTATTTTTACAGAAATGAGAGTATAGCTAGTCATATATGCAACTTTTGGTTGTCTATTTAAGTAGTCTGCCCTAAGGTTTTACACTAGATGCTGTACCTATAACCTACAAGGAGATTATTCATTTAAACCCTTTGATCATCTCTTTGTCATATTGGAATCCTCAACTTACTCTCTGTATATGCTTAATCAGTATACTGTTTAAGCAGTATGGTTATCTACCCTTTTTGTACTGGTTCCTAGGCCATTACATATTTCAGAATATATTACCTACCAGTAAGGTGCAAGAGGCCTTCTGTTGTTAACTATTTACTTACTTTTAGAACACTAATATAGGCTACTTTTACAGAGTTTGTCCAGACTTTGATACTGACTTCACAGCATATTCCTAGTACTTTTAGTATACCTCTGTTTTTGAACCCAGACTCCCAATTCAGATAGCATAGAATGACTGTGATCTATCTTTGGTATATTGAGGCTGGCCCAATATTCTTTTCTTCTAGTCCAAAATCTGGTGGCCTGATTGGTAGTACACCTCACCTAAGATTCTTGCTTACCCAAATCCTTCATATTGATATCCATTTCCTAGGTCTAGCCTTGTACAGTAGTATTATTAAAGTTTGTGTTACTTTTTTGCTCAGAATTTCTAAGTGGGTTTCAGCTTCTTAGTTCTACAGATTTATATAGTCTAAGGACTTATTTTAAGTTTGCACCATCTGGTATTAGTTTGAATTTCTCTGTATAACAGGTTATACAGATGCCTCAAACTTGCTAGTTATGCTAATGCAATCATAGTTACAGGTATCCTATCCCAATTGATCGACAAAATGCTGTTACCATAATACTGTCTATATATTACATAGATGATTATTCAAATTTTACTATTGGTAGATTTTGAACTTACAATCTACTACTTGGTAGTATGACAACTTATCCACTTCACTAAGTTGCCATATTCTAAAATATTAATTTTTAAAGATTGGAATATAAAATTATCAAATAAAATTAACTAATAAGTTTATATAAATTAACTAATTAACTTCTTTTTTTTTGTACTATCTAAGAAAATTTTAACCTATCTAAATAAACTTTGTTATATATATAAGTATATTTTTTTAAAATAATACAATATATCAAAATTTTACTATAATAGATAAATTTATTTATAATATTATAAATTTTTTTTATTAATTAATTAAAAAATAAAAAAGTTTTTTTTTTTTTTTTGTGCTAAGGTAACCTCTTTGGTCTTTTAACTTTTATTAATTACTTATTGATAATATGGTTCAATAAACTACTACAGAAGAGTATACAATTGGCTACATATGTAACTTTTTTATATTACATATTTAAGAAGTCTGCTTAAAGATTCTTTACCAATTGTCATACCTAATACTTTTGCTTGAATGTTCCAATTTAAACTCTTTGAATCTGTAATCTGTATTAACTCACTGAGTCATTCCAGATGCTCAGATCATTGTCTCAACCTTAGGACTAATTTATTCTTAAGATAAACCTCCAAAGCCTTCTGTACTTATTTTTATAGCTAACCTAGATATTGCTATAGCAGAACTAATACTTGCAATCAGAGCTTAATTATTAAACTGCTATGCCCTTGTAGAGTTTACTAAGACCTCAGCATCTACTTTACAGCATAACTCCAGTACTTTAGTATACCTCTACCTTTTCATCTGCCTTTTTACTAAACTTCCGATTCAGATAGCCTATATAGAACTATGACCAGTCTATTAGTATTTTAGATTGGCCCAATATCCTTTTTCTTTAGTTTGTTCTAGTAGCCTAGTTAGTGGTATCTCTGAGACTTCCAACTTAGAGGTTCTTGCCCATCTGGCTACTACAACTGGATACTAAATCTTAGTATCTGTTTTACTAGGCTAGCCTTTACAGTAGAGCCATTGAAGATCTAGCTATCTCTTTACTTAAGTCTTTTCAAATGAACTTCTTATTACCTAATTTTAACTGATTTACATAGCCATAAGGACTTATCTAGTGTTTGCACTGCCTGATTTATCAGTTTGCATTTCTTTGTATAACTCCAATATTGCACAGATGCCACTACATGATCTGCTAGTCATGTTGGTATGACTGCTATTACAGATATCTTAACTATATAAAAATAATCTATATGTTCTCTATTCTTAAATCTTATTGTTACTAATAAATTTAAAAAAGTTAAAAACATTGTAAATAAGATATATAAATAATTTAACATTTTGAATTAAATTTTAATATAATACTATCAACTCTTTTTAAACCAAACTAGTCATTGATATACAAAATTAATTTGTAGTATATACTATATGATCTTTATAGGCTTTATTCTTTACTTTGATTATAAGTTATAAGCATTAATTTATTTATTAATATTTATTGCAATTTTTAATAATTTGTTAATAAATGCTATAAGGCATCACTTATATAACAGTTTTTTTTAATATTAATGTGCTATAAACACAACTTAAAATAAAAAAATATTTATAATCAGCTGTAATAACAATATACTGTTAATAAAATATAAATAGTGAAAAGATTTGTTAAATAATACCAATAAGTATATAATTGATAATGCAAAAATAAGTAATTGAAGTTAAGAAATAGAGATGTTATTGGCTTTTTTGGCATTATCTATTATTCAGTTTTTATAATAATTAATATACAAGTTAGACCAATTTAATAACATCTCTAACAAGAAAATGGAAACTCTCACACTAATGAATCAGTTTCTTTTGAAAAATCAGGTTGAATTAAAAAAACAATTGTATTGGCTTAGGTAATTTAGCTTGTAATAAACTGAATTAAATAATAGAATAAAAAAATAGCATTTAAATGATATTTGATGAGCAAGGTTATATAAATGTAATAAAACATTGTTATGAATAAAAAGAATGCAATTAGCTATACTTAGATTTAGTTAAAATTTGCAGTTTGCTCAATAAAAAAAAGCTACTATATTATAATTAATATAATTATTTACAATAAATTTTTTTTTAGTTTATTATAATTAGAGTTTATTATTAAAAAAGTTAATATACTTATTCATCATTAATATTATAGATCCAAGGTTGTGTAAATTAGATTTATAGTTCATAACATTGTTAGCAAATCTTTAAAGATTATATTATAGAATTTTGTAAGAAATTTGTTTTAAGCCAAAGACTAGCTTTTGATGTGATCACTTATTAGAATTCCATATATACAATGTTGGCATTTACTATTTTGTATAGAAATATATTTGAGTGTCTTGTCTGCCAAGATGCTAGTTTTAAGCCAATTGCATCTTTAGATGATAACTAGAAAAAAGCAAAAAGTTTCTAAATTTTTTAAACCTATTTTATGAAAATAAGTATATTAATATTAAATTTTTTTATATAATTTAATATAAGCACCAATTAATTATATTATACTTCAATGTAGTTACTAATATTTTATCAAAAAGCATCTACTCTATAGCAAATATATTTTTTATTTAATTGGTAAAAATTAAAATACATCTCAAATAAAATAGTACTAATTTAAATTTTTTTTTTTTTAAATACTCAAGCTAATGTAAACCAAATTTAATAAATATTGAACAGAAATAGATGAAATGCATTGTATTGTATTAGCATTAGATCTTTGTTACAAAATGTCATTGCTAACTTATCTATATAAGAAGATAATAAACTTATTATATATTGAAGCAGAAAAAAAGTTGATTTCAATTAAATCAAGATAAAAGTATTATTTTTTCTAATTTTGTTAAGACAAAACATTTCATTTTATTTCATGCACTATTATTTCTTCAAATATTTTGCACTATAGTATTACAGAGTTGTAGCCTTCTTGGTACAATACAGCCAAGTAACAAGGTCACTTGGTATAATGATTAACTATTACAAATATATACAAAGTGAAGGTGTAGTAGTTTACTTTACTATATAGCAGCAGGCAAATAGTTCGAGATATTAACAGTATATAAATTAACTTTTTATTAAAAACATATATAGTAACAATCTTGCCTATAGGAATTACTCTAAAGAAGAAATATTACACTTTATAATTAAAAGATCATTATGTTTAGGTTGAAGTATAAAAACTTAAAATTGATAGAAAAAAGAAAAAGGTACCCTTTATATATCTTTTTATCTAGCAGAGATAGTAAAGATTTGAGCAACCTTACTTGATACTGTACTCAGAATAATGAGGATTCAAACAACATTAAATATCATTATATTTGGAACAGTGAAAATTTGAATATTAAATGATACTATGCTTAAGATAGTAAGGATTGTGCAGATGCAACTGAGAATATTGTTTTTATCATTTGTTATTTATGCTTAATACACTTAGAGCTTGTATTTAGATACTTGAATCTGTACAAAGGTACT